CCAAATTTAGAAGCTACAAGTACACAAGAATCACTGCTTGGCTGTGCCTTGCGGAAGAATACAACACTCACAGAAGGCAGTGGCGCCGGAACCCGGAGGCCCAGGCACCTGTAGCAACTCTCCCCCGCCCGATAACTGTTGTTTGTTTTAAAATGTAAACGACCATTTCCCCTTCTGTGTCAGACTGAATGATACCCATTGCCACATATTCTTCAATATTGTTTTTGTTTTAGTATACCACTTCCCTGTATGTGTGAGACTGAATCTTATCTCTTGCCACATATTCTTCATTATGTATCCTACCACTTCCGCGTATACTTCCGTGCTTCTGTCCCACGGTGTATATTTCTCAATTTTCAGATAGTATTTTCCAACCGATCGTCTTTAGTCTCCCTTTATTTGTTAAAGACACTAACCATGCTTTCAACATTTTTGGATCCATCAGACTACTTAAAATCTATTATCTTTTCCTGACAGAGTATGCTCCCTCTATACGTCTACCCCTCAGTCTGATGGTCTTAGGGCACTCAAGTTCTTTTTTGAACAGAAGGTCCAACCCACGTCTGGCTGTATATCTAGAGTTGGCCGTGGTCCAACCCTATCATCCCTACTGCGGTCCCTGTACGCCTTGCCGAATTGGTACAGATCCGTAGGAGAAATTCTTAAATTCCAACTAAAGAAGGCCAGCAAACATCTAAACTTTACCGGCTAGTTTCTGACACATGCTGTAACCAGTGTTGCCACTATGGATGTTTTACATCCATATTTAGATGTTTTCCCTTGCATTTGGATGGCGTTTTAGACGTTTAGATGGTAGATGTTTTCTAGATGTTTTTCATTTGGAGTTAATTTATCAAATCTAACCTAAGAAACAGAATAAAATGTGACCTCTTAAATGCTGTCTTGATAATAAAATTCGGCCTGATAAGAGTAGGAAAAGGCTGTTCCGCGTATCAGCTCCCTGATTGGTTATTAACAGAATTTAGAACAGCTAAAGCATACCAGAGTCATTTTGGATCTGAAGCTTCAACTTCATCATCCAAGCTAAGTTTATCCAGTGGATCTTGTAAGGCAAACTTCAGTAAAGATAACGACATGATTATATAAGGTAAGTCATATCAATTGCTATGTAATTTGTGACTTTTTCGTTTTGGATGTTTTTTGTCAAAGAAAAGTGGCAACGCTGGCTGCAACAGACGCACACCACACACTGGTCAGGGTGAGAAAGGGGAGGGGTAAATTTAGGTGATAGGAATGTCCGTTTGTATCTCAAAATATTAGCGGGATGTCCCGTTTTCAGCTCCAGATTTTATGTTCGCCTTAACTAGACTTTAATGTGGACCCAGCCTACAACGAGTGCCGGCTAATGTTCTGGGAACATGGGGGAAAAGGCGGCTGACGTCATGCTGACCACACTAACCATCCATCGAGTGCTGCTTGGTTCTAAATGTATGAGTCAAGCATCATACGCCAAACATGCCACTACTTTACTTACTTAATGAGGAATTGAACTTACGACCACGGGACCTGCAGGCAAACGTGCTCGACATACCGATCCCGTCGCTGAAACTGACTCCTACGAGCTACAATAAACACTTGTACTAATTTACATCATTTTCCGCCATTCTGTATTGAGGCAGTTCGGTGCAAACTGAAAAACCACAAAACATTCGAACTGGAGGGGAATATACACCCAGCAGGGGAAGACAATTTTTGCAAAATGTGATTCCAAAGAAAGAGAGTTGAGATTTTAAATATTCATGCTTAGGGAGCTGCCTATATTACGCTGAACGAGAGGCACACAAAGGAAGATTTATACACACCGGCCTAACCTTTTGTCGTCTTGTGTGTGGCTGAGCTGTCGGTTATTGATTCCTTCTTTATACATCAGTGCGCCCCAAATGCTTCTTTTCACTGGCGTGCATTTTCTCATGAAAATATGCGCACACGGCGATGGAATATACGCAGTGTAGTGTGCGGATTTTGGGGAACTTTTAAACATATATATAGATGAATGGTCAGAAAGAGAGATACACATACAGACAGATAAACAGAGAGACGGACGGACTGACAGACAGACACACAGACAGGCAGAGATGGGTGGACAGACAGACAGGCAGGCAAATCGAAGGAGACAGACAGACAGACAGTTTCGATAGATAGATAGATAGATAGATAGATAGATAGATAGATAGATAGATAGATGGATGGATGGATGGATGGATGGATGGATGGATGGATGGATGGATGGATGGATGGATGGATGGATGGATGGATGGATGGATGGATGGATGGATGGATGGATGGATGGATGGATGGATGGATGGATGGATGGATGGATGGATGGATGGATGGATGGATGGATGGATGGATGGATGGATGGATGGATGGATGGATGGATGGATGGATGGATGGATGGATGGATGGATGGATGGATGGATGGATGGATGGATGGATGGATGGATGGATGGATGGATGGATGGATGGATGGATGGATGGATGGATGGATGGATGGATGGATGGATGGATGGATGGATGGATGGATGGATGGATGGATGGATGGATAGATAGATAGATAGATAGATAGATAGATAGATAGATAGATAGATAGATAGATAGATAGATAGATAGATAGATAGATAGATAGATAGATAGATAGATAGATAGATAGATAGATAGATAGATAGATAGATAGATAGATAGATAGATAGATAGATAGATAGATAGATAGATAGATAGATAGATAGATAGATAGATAGATAGATAGATAGATAGATAGATAGATAGATAGATAGATAGATAGATAGATAGATAGATATACAAACTGACACACAGACATATAGACAGACAGCTAAGCGACAGCACAATCGTATTAGAAAAAAAAAATCGAATCTCCCTTTCTTCCATGCCCCACCCCTTTCTTAATGGCACTTTTTCGCCTTCCCTCCTCCCTTCCCCACCCTTTCCATTTGCAACATCATTAATTCGACATAAGCAAGAACGACAAATTACCCTTTCAGCGTCTGCTCATTACTTGTTTCTAACACAACTGAAGACTTCCATCTATAGTCAGTGTTACACATCGCAGGGACCTAGAGGAAACATTCTTTAAAGGGACCTAGAGGAGACAATTCTTTTAAGGGACCTAGAGGAGACAATTCTTTAAAGGGACCTAGAGGAAACATTCTTTAAAGGGACCTATAGGAGACAATTCTTTAAAGGGGCCTAGAGGAGTCAATTCTTTAAAGGGACCTAGAGGAAACATTCTTTAAAGGGACCTAGAGGAGACAATTCTTTAAAGGGACCTATATGAGACAATTCTTTAAAGGGACCTAGAGGAGACAATTCTTTAAAGGGATCTAGAGGAAACATTCTTTAAAGGGACCTATAGGAGACAATTCTTTAAAGGGGCCTAGAGGAGTCAATTCTTTAAAGGGACCTAGAGGAAACATTCTTTAAAGGGACCTATAGGAGTCAATTCTTTAAAGGGACCTAGAGGAGTCAATTCTTTAAAGGGACCTAGAGGAGTCAATTCTTTAAAGGGACCTAGAGGAAACATTCTTTAAAGGGACCTATAGGAGACAATTCTTTAAAGTGACCTATAGGAGACAATTCCTTTAAAGGGACCTATAGGAGACAATTCTTTAAAGGGACCTATAGGAGACAATTCTTTAAAGGGACCTATAGGAGACAATTCTTTAAAGGGACCTATAGGAGACAATTCTTTAAAGGGACCTATAGGAGACAATTCTTTAAAGGGACCTATAGGAGACAATTCTTGAAAGGGACCTATAGGAGACAATTCTTTAAAGGGACCTATAGGAGACAATTCTTTAAAGGGACCTATGGGAGACAATTCTTTAAAGGGACCTATAGGAGACAATTCTTTAAAGGGACCTAGAGGAGACAATTCTTTAAAGGGACCTATAGGAGACAATTCTTTAAAGGGACCTATAGGAGACAATTCTTTAAAGGGACCTATAGGAGACAATTCTTTAAAGGGACCTATAGGAGACAATTCTTTAAAGGGGCCTATAGGAGACAATTCTTTAAAGGGACCTAGGAGTCAATTCTTTAAAGAGGCCTAGAGGAGACAATTCTTTAAAGGGGCCTAGAGGAGACAATTCTTTAAAGGGGCCTAGAGGAGACAATTCTTTAAAGGGGCCTAGAGGAGACAATTCTTTAAAGGGGCCTAGAGGAGTCAATTCTTTAAAGGGACCTAGAGGAGACAATTCGTCAAGTCCTAAAAGAACAGAGGAGAGACAATCGTCAAGTCTCAACAGAACATAGGAGAGACAATCGTCAAGTCTCAACAGAACATAGGAGAGACAATCGTCAAGTCTCAACAGAACATAGGAGAGACAATCGTCAAGTCTCAACAGAACACAGGAGAGACAATCGTCAAGTCTCAACAGAACATGGGAGAGACAATCGTCAAGTCTCAACAGAACATAGGAGAGACAATCGTCAAGTCTCAACAGAACATAGGAGAGACAATCGTCAAGTCTCAACAGAACATAGGAGAGACAATCGTCAAGTCTCAACAGAACATAGGAGAGATTATCGTCAAGTCTTAACAGAACATAGGTGAGACAATCGTCAGGTCTCAACAGAACTTAGGAGAGACAATCGTCAAGTCTCAACAGAACACAGGAGAGACAATCGTCAAGTCTTAACAGAACATAGGAGAGACAATCGTCAAGTCTCAACAGAACATAGGAGAGACAATCGTCAAGTCTCAACAGAACATAGGAGAGACAATCGTCAAGTCTCAACAGAACATAGGAGAGACAATCGTCAAGTCTCAACAGAACATAGCAGAGACAATCGTCAAGTCTCAACAGAACATAGGAGAGACAATTGTCAAGTCTCAACAGAACATAGGAGAGACAATCGTCAGGTCTCAACAAAACTTAGGAGAGACAATCGTCAAGTCTTAACAGAACATAGGTGAGACAATCGTCAGGTCTCAACAGAACTTAGGAGAGACAATCGTCAAGTCTCAACAGAACACAGGAGAGACAATCGTCAAGTCTTAACAGAACATAGGAGAGACAATCGTCAAGTCTCAACAGAACATAGGAGAGACACTCGTCAAGTCTCAACAGAACATAGGAGAGACAATCGTCAAGTCTCAACAGAACATAGGAGAGACAATCGTCAAGTCTCAACAGAACATAGGAGAGACAATCGTCATGTCTCAACAGAACATAGCAGAGACAATCGTCAATTCTCAACAGAACATAGGAGAGACAATCGTCAAGTCTCAACAGAACATAGGAGAGACACTCGTCAAGTCTCAACAGAACATAGGAGAGACAATCGTCAAGTCTCAACAGAACATAGGAGAGACAATCGTCATGTCTCAACAGAACATAGCAGATACAATCGTCAATTCTCAACAGAACATAGGAGAGACAATCGTCAAGTCTTAACAGAACATAGGAGAGACACTCGTCAAGTCTCAACAGAACATAGGAGAGACAATCGTCAAGTCTCAACAGAACATAGGAGAGACAATCGTCAAGTCTCAACAGAACATAGCGGAGACAATTCATCGACTCTCAGCAGAACACGGGCGAAATAGTCTGAATATAAAACATTTATCATTCAAAGCAACAAACTGTGTTCGGTGTACTAATCAGAAGCCGATAAAATAGGATAAGAGGAAAAATGGAGGTGAGAGTGTGTGTGTGTATGTGTGTGTGCGCGCGTGCGTGCGCGGAATGAGTGTGCATGAAGAGGCTGCAAAAGAAGAGAGAAAGAGAGTGTCGTCGGAAAAAAAAATTATAATTTCACCCCCACCTGGAATGAATTTGTTGTTATTTTCAAGCCACACCCTGGTTGTTGCCAGGGGCCCTAATATAACCTAACGGTTGAACGTGGTTTCTGGGACCTGTCCAGGTTGATCCTCATCCGAATGTTGGCACGTTGTGACACCGGATGTTTATCGCTCAGTGTGATGTCTTGGTGGGGTGAAAAGTCAGTGAGTCGGACACGGTAACCACAGTGAAGCAAAGAGACAGGGGGCAGAGAAAGACATATAAACAGAGACAGGGACAGAGAGAGAGAGAGAGAGAGAGAGAGAGAGAGAGAGAGAGAGAGAGAGAGAAAAAGAGAGAGAGAGAGAGAGAGAGAGAGAGAGAGAGAGAGAGAGAATATGGCGTGCATGCACAGTATTGACACTTATGTCCCTTTTGTGTAATAAGGCTGGATTTTGAATCAATATAAACCTGTTGTTGTTTTTTCAAAGAGAGAACAGAAACACAATGCAGTCAAAAAGGAGAAAGAATCCCGCATGCTGAGTAACAGTTATGTAATTCCCTAAGAGATTCTCCTCGGGTCAGTTTATAAATGGCATCCCGAGACTGAAGCCCGACCACAGTCTTGACCAGGCAAGGACACTGACCACTAACTATATTGAAGCCCGACTACAGTCTTGACCAGGCAAGGACACTGACCACTAACTATATTGAAGCCCGACCACAGTCTCGACCAGGCAAGGACACTGACCACTAACTATACTGAAGCCCGACACCAGTCTTGACCAGGCAAGGACACTGACCACTAACTATACTGAAGCCCGACCACAGTCTTGACCAGGCAAGGACACTGACCACTAACTACGCCACCGTGACTTATTCCTTCATCTGCTCTCCGCCATCTGGCTGGTACCTCAAACCTGAACAACACGCTGCGACTCGAAAAGCTGCATCCGAGGTGTCAGTCTAAGAGAAGGATCGTAGATATCCCGTTCCACCTACTAAAAAGTTGCGATAAGGGCGACCCTGCTGCCCTAAGATCACAAAGAATGTACGAACATAAGTGTGAATACATACAACCCGCAAGTGATTACCACCAGAAAGAACATAATAATGGCAGACAGCGAAGTCCTAAATCTATTCTTTATTTGGCTCTTCACATTTTTACAGCTGACATAAAAACGTCTCTGTGGCGAGTTAAACACAGAACTTAGTGACAGAGAGAGTGTGTGTGTGTGTGAGAGAGAGAGAGAGAGAGAGAGAGAGAGAGAGAGAGAGAGAGAGAGAGACAGAGAGAGAGAGTGAGTGAAAGAGTGTGTGTGAGAGAGAGAGTGAGAGAGAGAGAGTGGGCAAGGGAGAGAGAAGTTTGATAAATGTGTGAGCAAATGGATATGGTTGTGAGTGTTTTCCTCTCTTTGTGTGTGTGCAAGAGTGTGTGTGTTTTTGGCAGTGAACGTGTTTTATGAATATACGTGGAGAGGGTCTGTTAATGTGCGTGTGCCTGTTTTGTGAATGTGTGTATGTGGCAAGGGTTTGTTAATGTGCGTGTGCCTGTTTTGTGAATGTGTGTATGTGGCAAGGGTTTGTTAATGTGCGTGTGCCTGTTTTGTGAATGTGTGTATGTGACAAGGGTTTGTTAATGTGCGCGTGCCTGTTTTGTGAATGTGTGTAGTATGTGGCAAGGGTCTGTTAATGTGCGCGTGCCTGTTTTGTGAATGTGTGTATGTGGCAAGGGTCTGTTAATGTGCGCGTGCCTGTTTTGTGAATGTGTGTATGTGGCAAGGGTTTGTTAATGTGCGTGTGCCTGTTTTGTGAATGTGTGTAGTATGTGGCAAGGGTCTGTTAATGTGCGTGTGCCTGTTTTGTGAATGTGTGTAGTATGTGGCAAGGGTCTGTTAATGTGCGTGTGCCTGTTTTGTGAATGTGTGTATGTGGCAAGGGTTTGTTAATGTGCGTGTGCCTGTTTTGTGAATGTGTGTAGTATGTGGCAAGGGTCTGTTAATGTGCGCGTGCCTGTTTTGTGAATGTGTGTAGTATGTGGCAAGGGTCTGTTAATGTGCGCGTGCCTGTTTTGTGAATGTGTGTATGTGGCAAGGGTTTGTCAATGTGCGCGTGCCTGTTTTGTGAATGTGTGTATGTGGCAAGGGTTTGTCAATGTGCGCGTGCCTGTTTTGTGAATGTGTGTATGTGGCAAGGGTTTGTCAATGTGCGCGTGCCTGTTTTGTGAATGTGTGTATGTGGCAAGGGTCTGTTAATGTGCGTGTGCCTGTTTTGTGAATGTGTGTATGTGACAAGGGTTTGTTAATGTGCGTGTGTCTGTTTTGTGAATGTGTGTAGTATGTGGCAAGGGTTTGTTAATGTGCGTGTGCCTGTTTTGTGAATGTGTGTAGTATGTGGCAAGGGTCTGTTAATGTGCGTGTGCCTGTTTTGTGAATGTGTGTATGTGGCAAGGGTCTGTTAATGTGCGTGTGCCTGTTTTGTTTTGTGAATGTGTGTGTTTGTGTGAATGTGTGTATGTGGCAATGTGCGCGTGCCTGTTTTGTCAATGTGGCGCGTGCCTGTTTTGTGAATGTGTGTATGTGGCAAGGGTTTGTCAATGTGCGCGTGCCTGTTTTGTGAATGTGTGTATGTGGCAAGGGTTTGTTAATGTGCGCGTGCCTGTTTTGTGAATGTGTGTATGTGGCAAGAGTTTGTTAATGTGCGTGTGCATGTTTTGTGAATCGGTGTATGCGGCACAGGGTTTATTAATGTGCGTGTGCATGTTTTGTGAATGGGTTTATGCGGCACAGGGTTTGTTAATGTGCGTGTGCATGTTTTGTGAATGGGTGTACGTGGCGAGGGTTTGTTAATGTGCGTGTGAATGTTTTTGTGAATGGTTGTACGTGCCTGTGTATTAGTTAATGCGTCGATGAGCACAGGAATGGTTTGTGAATAGATGTACGCGCTGTGCCTTTGTTACTTTTGTAACGTGCGAACATGTGTTTTACGATTGGGTATCCTTGTGTTTTACGATTGGGTATCCTTGTGTTTTACGAATGGGTGTCCTTGTGTTTTACGATTGGGTATCCTTGTGTTTTACGATTGGGTATCCTTGTGTTTTACGAATGGGTGTCCTTGTGTTTGGATGCTTTTGTGAATTGGTGCTATGGGTTTGTTAACGTGTATGCAAAATGTGGGTGTTTAAACATGTATACAGACGCACAGTTTGTTAATATGTATACATAATGTGGGTTTGTTAGTGTGTATACACGCGTGTATGTATGTTAATGTGTGTAAGTATGTGTGATTGTTTTATGAATGTGTGAATGCTGGTGGTGGGTCTGTGTAACTGGACTACTTGGGGTATTTGACAACATATTTGCACACAGGCAGACAGACAGACGACACTGCGGCCAGATAGAAGGGTGGTCGGACACAGACAAACCGATAGATTTAAAGATAGACGGATAGAAGACTCACTTTAACGGCACAATGACTCACTTTAACAACTAATTCACCGTTAGTAAAGCAATGTTTTTTTAATCTGTTACTGGCTATCTCTCTCTCTCTCTCTCTCTCTCTCTCTTCTCTCTCTCTCTCTCTCTCTCTCTCTCTCTCTCGTTCGCTCTCTCCTTCCTTCTTCCACCCCCAATTACATTTCACTATCAGCGCCTTCTGTCAAACGCAGCAGGGCCGATAACTGCGAGGCGCCGGGCTTCTCTGCCGCCCTAACAAAGACAAACATTGAAGGGCTAGCACAGGAAAGGGGCCTCCATTATCTGCCCCTGCAACATCTGACAGGAGGCCCGGACAGGGGCTTGTTTGCCGAGCTACCAAACGGTCCTCCCAAACAGCAGCAGCATGCAGGCTGGGAAGACATGTAAATATTCCTTGGCTAATTTGCTGGCTGTGGGAGCTGACACTTCGACAACATGGCGGCATTCTTTTCATCCACAAGTCACATTTTTGTCTTCTCTCACTTTGTGTGCGTGTGTGTGTGTGTGTGTGCGTGTGTGGTGTGCGCGCCAATTGGTGTGAGTGTGCGTGCGCACACGTACGCAAACGGGTTGGAAGTTTGGTTGTGCTTTCATAATGGCTATGTTACTCATTATTAACTATTTTCTTCTGTCCTTTTTCTGCATGTTTCTTATTTTTTTTTATTTTCCTGACTACGTGTTTTCTTATTTCATTTGTTTCTTTACTTTTCCTGACTTCGTATCTTCTGCGTGTTCAGTCTATTTCTACTCTTTGTTTTCTAATTTCATTTGTTTCTTCAGTTTTCCTGACCGTGTCTTCTGCGTGTTCAGTCTATTTCTACTCTTTGTTTTCTAATTTCATTTGTTTCTTCAGTTTTCCTGACCGTGTCTTCTGCGTGTTCAGTCTGTTGCTATTCTTTGTTTTCTAATTGCATTTGTTTCTTCACTGTTTAATCCCTGTACTATCTTTTCGAAAAACTATCTTTGTATCTTTCGTACATCCCAACTCTTTTCTAGCTGTCTTTATTTTTGTATTTTCTGTCCATTCCTGCTTCTCACCCACCCATCCCCTTTTTGTATTTTTTTTCCTGTTGAGTGGGGTGTAGGAGTCTGTCGTAACCATCCTGTTCTCTTACAGTTCCTGTATTTTCCGTCTATCTGGTTTTTTTTTTTTTTTTTTTTCAGAAATTGTCTATATCTCCGTTGTCTGAATTTTGTATTTTATCTTTTTTGGGTACTTGTACCCTTTTCCCACTCATTTTTTAATTGGTTTATTTGCTTGCAGGACCGGACCTGGGAGTGGGACTGGGATTTGGGGGGGGGGGGGTCCCTGAGCCATACAGCGGCATGGCCAGTGCAGTCACAACCAAATGTGCAGGTTCTGGATTTTATGACTGCTCCCAGCTGGGGAGGGGGGCATTTCTATCTTTTATTTAAGATCGAACTCAGGCCTCTAACACGAGAGGCAAGCGCCACAGCCACTAGTGAAACACAACTGCCAATAAATGCTGAGGTTGGTTTGTAAAGATTCACGTAAGTAACTGTTTTCTTACACTAGCAATTCCGTCCTTCTCTTGGTGGAATTGACACCCACACACTTTTCCTCCCTGTGAATACACCTATGCGACCAGCACCATGGCAACGGCTAACCAGCTGGTTTCCCGCTTCCCAGACAACCAACCATCCAGAAAAAACAAAACAAGGGTGATCGTTCTTTAACTCAGACAACGGACCCACACCCACTAGTCAGCAACACGTGAAAATCAAACACAGTGGAAGCACCCACTGAGGTAGCAGTGCAGAAGGAGTTATGAAATAACACTGAAACTAGCTAAATGTTAGTTAAGTTTGGCGAGAATTCCTTTTCTTGTTGAGCGGGAATTTCTATCATATTTCCCAGACATAACATAGAAGTGAAACAATCTAATCGCTGGAACTGCCCCAGTTCTTGCTAACGCGCGCTACATGGACACAGGCCATTTTTTTTTCCGGTTGTATCCGAGACAGGTTAGCCTTCAAAACCTCTGAATGCTTAACCTCAGGTGTTTTATCTGTAAATGTCCACAAACTTGCAATAGCGATTTGTACCTAGTTCATTTCTAGCATTAACAACTGGACAAATAGATATGCCTAGCATGGATAACTTAGCAACAAATACATTCTAGCAAAGGTAAGTGGAAAATAAATGCGCTTTTTTTAGTGTCATTGAGTTAGTAACAGAAAGACAAGCTGGGAATAAATGCGCTTTTTTAGTGTCGATAAGTTTGTAATAAATATTTTTTAGCATGGATAGGTTAGCGACAAATACTTCCCTAGCATGCATAAATGGATAACAGATACCTTTCTAACACGGTTAATTAAGCTATTAACCCTCCCCCTCCCCACTCTTTCTCTCTCTGACTCCCCGCCCCTCCCCACTCTTTCTCTCTCAGACTCCCCGCCCCTCCCCACTCTTTCTCTCTCTGACTCCCCGCCCCTCCCCACTCTTTCTCTCTCTGACTCCCCGCCCCTCCCCACTCTTTCTCTCTCTGACTCCCCGCCCCTCCCCACTCTTTCTCTCTCTGACTCCCCGCCCCTCCCCACTCTTTCTCTCTCTGACTCCCCGCCCCTCCCCACTCTTTCTCTCTCTGACTCCCCGCCCCTCCCCCACTCTCTCTCTCTCTCTCTCTGACTTCCCGCCTATAACGAAACCCTGGACAAAGTCTTCCTCTCGCTTGTAATCTAAGCCAGCTCACCCCAAGTCCTCTCCATCATATTCTGCCGCCCCTTTCCCTCCTCTCTCTTTCTCTCTGTGTTTGTGGGCTTCTCTATTTCGTTGGCGCTGTTGATTCCAGTGTGGACACATTCTAGCTACACAACTGTCTGGCTTTTTCTCAATGCATGTCTTATCCTAGATTTATCTGGGAAACAAAGGGTCAGAGCCAATGGGAACTAATCACCCAGGTCAGTGTTACCTAGTATATGCGAAGGTCAACAGGTCCACACTCCTTAGGCAGTATGTGTTTCATGGATTATTTTACCTTTGTTGGCTGGTCAGCCTTTATTTCTATAAGTTCCCATGTAAGCAGATTATATTTGCAGTGTATTACAGAGAGCCGGCTGGACGCTCGCCTGCGGATCAGAAGATCTAGGCTTGGGTCCTGACAGAGCCAGCATTATTTCCAAACACTGTCATTGGCTCTCAGATCGACCCAGCCTTGAATGGGTACCAGGGAAGTAATGGGAAGTAAAGGCGACCGGTGCCATTTTGATCACATCCCCCACCTAGGGCTATAAAATATAGGTCTAGCCCTATATGTGCAATATGCCTAAGGCGTGTGGAAGGGTTGCCACCTTACATCTAGATCTGGATGTTTTTGCTTGCGTTTAGATTTGTCTAACGTTTATTTTAGGTGTAATTCTTCTTTTTTTTTTTAAATAAATATTTATACATTTTTTTTTTCAGTGCCCGTTCAATAATAACTATATAAATTACATATTCTGTACTGGTGTCGGTGCATGGCAACTGCTATTTTTTAAACTGTGAATTCATTGGGGTCAGCGCTCAACAATCTGACAGCCCCGGTACTGATTAAGAACGACGCCAAAAGTAAAACAGTTTAAACACCCATTTTGGAAACAGTGGCTGCATGATGACATTATCAAAACTGGGTGATGGCATGTCATGGGAATGCGACTACGGCTCGTTGTAAGTGCTGCACAGAGGAAAGCGAAAGTGTAAGACTTGAATAGTCATGCAGAGACTGAAAAGCATAAAACAGCAGTATCAAAACAGCAATGAAATTCGAGGATATTACACCGCTGAAATAAGCTGTTAGAACTACAAAGATTAACGAATCACTATTGGGAGCTATTTGGATCCTAAGCCATACATTAAATTTTAAAAAAAAATTATTTTTTTTTTAAAACCTGATGACGATTTAGAAACACAAGGACTGTTAATAGAAAATGAAGACAACAACTTGAGAACACGATGTCAAGATTTTCTTGTTTGATTATTCAAGCAACTGAACCACAGACTTCCTGAAAATTGAGATGTACTGACATATATTTCACCCATTTCTTTTAACAAGATAATTCAGTCTGTAAAAGACATACATAAATAGTGTAAAGTTTTGACATTTGTAAGGGCTACTGATAACAGTTTAGTGACAGAAGAATAGCAATTAACGAATATAAATGTGACATTGAATAAGGTTGCACTTAGTGTAATGTCTGTCGTATGTCGTATCTTCGTTGGCTACTGAAGACGGGGACGGAGCACGTGTGGGAATGTCCCAAGTGCAGTAATGTCAATTTGATTTATTCATTAACTTGTTCAGTGTAATTTCGTATTATTTATTCCATCTGAATTAATTTTTTTAAATGTGTGTGTGTGTGTGTGTGTGTGTGTGTGTGTGTGTGTGTGTGTGTGCGTGTTGTGTGTGTGTGTGTGTCTCTCTCTCTCTCTCACCTGTACAATCTAGAATATTTTAGATATTGTTTGTTTCGTTTCTAGACGTTTTCTTTCAAAGAAAAGTGCTAACTATGCCTACGACATAGAGAACTAGTAATTGCTCACTTCAAAGCCACTATGTGCATGATATATTTTTACCTTTAACTCTGCTAATTCTGTAACACAGCCTTTTGGCAGGAGGATGACCGCCCAGAATAAGAAGGTAATTGTAGTATAGAAATGAATGTCAGACTCGGCAGTTCGAGGACGATAGACTTCGTTTCTATTCAATCAGAAGTGAGTGATTGCAAGAATGTCACAGACTCGCTGAGACGGTGAGCGGAAATGAAAATCGATGAAGAACTATGTGGGCTAAACAGAGGATTAGACGCACAGACATATACAGTAACAGTAATGTGTCAATGTCTGTGTGGGCTGAAGTGTAGATACAGCAGTAGACATAGGTAGATAATGGTGAGCAATTAAATCAATTGTTTATATATATATTTATTTATAAATGGTCATAGTGAAAGGGATCGTCATCTCATTTGCATGCAATTTTTTTCTGCATTTTGACGCCCCAGCCTGGCTCTTGTCAGGGGCCGCAATACAGCCCGGCCATAAATATGGCCTAATGGATGAATGCGGTTTCCGGGACCTCTCCACGGGTGATCCTCATCCGCATGGTGACACCTTGTGTCATCGGGTGTTTATCGCTTGTGTGATGTCCTAGTGGGGTAAAATGCACTACTACTACTGAAAGAAAACGTTATTAGTTTGCGAGGCAGGCCTCAAAAAGAAAGGGAAAACGGTGGATATGTAGCCAGACAGACAGACAGACAGACAAACAGACAGACAGAAAGCCAGAGACAGACAGACAGACAGACAGACAGACAGACAGACAGACAGACAGACAGACAGACAGACAGACAGACAGACAGACAGACAGACAGACAGACAGACAGACAG